CATATATATGTAATATATATACTTAGTAGGATGTAAATTATGAGGAAAGGACGTTTTTTCTATGCTCTATACCCAATACCTGAAAAATATTGACTCAAATGCTCCAGTTTTTTAAAGTAATTAACAGCTGTGCAACACTAACATCATTTGAAGGCTTATTTTAATTTTTTAATGTTATTTTAATTTAGTTTGCCCAACTTAAGTAGTCAAATATTTACCCATGGCTCATAATGAAATGAAAAGCAAAAATGTTTCTTAGCTTTATCCCCAGGTCTCACTCACTGAAGCAACGGTATTCAGTCCTATTTGTTACTTCTTTCTATCTTCTAGGTTAGCTGCTGCAATGCTGTGACTTGATTGCTGGGTCATATTCAAGGTGGTTGTCAATCCCCCATCATCCTTCCCTACATCCCATGTTCCATTTTGTCTTCTGTTTTATTCTGCTTCTTCTTTTCTAGCTGAGAGCTGGGCCATGGACTGTGAATCTTAGGATCCCTCCCACATATCAGTGTGTATTTTTTTTCCCTCATAACCTGGAAATGTGATGCTAAACCACTTTTTTCCTTTTAGGATTTGAAGTTATTATTCCATTATTGCTTGATGAATTTGTATTTATAACAACTCAGATGATGGTGATACTGTTCCAGCAAATTTTGAGAGTACCATCCAAGACCACTCATCAATAGCTCTGTTTTAGATCTTCTTTTCAGATATCCGATTTTGGCATTTCTGTTCCCTTGACAGGCTTGCCTTACCCCATATAGCTACACGGATCAATTCCTTTCTGGCTAGTCAGCATTTCATCTTGTCACTGAGGGGCCCCAGCCATCCTATTTAACCTTGTACAACACACAGCCCATTCATGTGTTTTGCATTCCGACTCCTTCATCCCCTCTGTTAGGGCACTTCTAAATGACTCTCTAATTGACTTATTCATATTATTTATGTTTAGATCCCTCCAGGAGTGTGTAAGTTTCATAAGGGCAGGGAATTTTCTTTGTTTTGTTCTCTGCTGTAGCCCCCAAGTCTTAAAATAATACTTGACAAATAGTAAGCACCCAATAATTACTTCTTGATGAAGTCCCTCAGGCTTACTTTATAATATTCTTACTTACTTTTAAAATTGCATCATTTTTAAATTTCTGTGAGTTCTTTTTGGTTCTTTAAATATTACTTTGTATGATAACCTGTCTGTATAAAAGATACAACATATTTAGATGTGTTGAGTCATCTTTTTTGTTCCTGCTTTCATGCTGATTCTTTCTATTCTCTTTTGTTCTTGACTTTTTGTTTTTCTCTGTTTTTCATGTGAGTGGGTTTCCTCAGATATAGTAGTCTACTTGGAGTGTTATGACTTTGAAAATGCCCTAAAGCTGACCGGCAGTTCTGTGCAAATGGGCAGGGCTTAGCAATAGGACTGCTGGTGGCTCTTCTGTTTCATGTGGAAACTCTGCACAGATTTTTTTTTTTTTTAAATAACCCTTAGACCATTCGCCTTAGGGAAGTATCCTACCCATATGCTTATAAGCCCAGTAGCCAGTCTTCTAGGCCAGTCTCCGAGTACACCTGCAAGGAGAATGCCCAGCCACTTTCATCAGTGCTACTTATGGATTTTGCTTCTTGGTTTGGAGAGGTGCCTCACTGCAGCTCTCAGCCAGGGCAAACTGTCTGCAGTCTAGAATCCCACCTGGCTTGTTTTCTTCAGATAGTTAACATATCAATTAGGATGGAGTAGATTAATCCCTCAGTATGGTATGATTCAGTCCAACCCTTTCACCCTTCAGGCCCCAGGGAGACTGGGAAATACGATAAACCAAGTTCTGTTTCTAACCTGCATACTTTGTGCAAGTCTTGATCCCACTTACAACAGAATAGTGCAGCTGTTTGTGGGTTTGTGTGCCAGACTATACATTCCTAAATGTAAGCATTTCAATATTTGTTGACATCCTAGGTCACTTTCTCCTATAATTAAAGCCCAACACAGATTGGGGCATATGTTTTATCAAGCTGGAACAGCAAAGATGTGGGAAAGCAAGACAGATGGGGAGAAATGAAGAAGTATAGCACCTAGGGGAAGAAGCCCCAGCCTCAGCCCGGTTCCAAAGAAAGTTCTGAAACAGGCCTCCTTAGAGCTCACCCCACTTTCACAGCATGTCAGTTATTGACTGATGAATATGGTGATTTGGGTGCTGAGGGGAAAAAATAACCTGTTTCTAACTTGGTCTTTGCAAAGTGATATTGTTCAAAGGGGATTCTTTGAAGACCTTACATGTGAGCCAGTGCTAAGAAGCCTGTGGAAGCTAGAGGAAGGGACCTGGCGCTGAGAGTGACTCCCAGGAGAGCTGAACAGGCACTAGGCATTCACTAACTCCTAGTGGCTCCCCTTCAGTAAAGGAATGATAATCTCATAACTATAAAACACTTTGCAGGTAACAAAATTGGTTTCTTTGGTCTCTTACTGTAATTGATTTACAAAAAAAATTTATAAGAACACTATTATTATCCTTATTTGTCCAGAGTCAAATCAGACAGAAATTAAGCAACTTTTCTAACATCTTCAGGATCTAAGCCTCTTATTGTATACTGCTTGCTGCATCATATTTAAGAATTTTTAGAAACATTTTATATAGACATGGAATGCATGTAAATATGAATTATTTAATATGAGTATCATGATGATGTGTATAATTTTTTAACATTTATTATTTATACACACAAGAACTGGGGTACAGACCAGAAATGCAGGGGGTGAGAGGATTCCCCAGAGACAGAGTGGGGAGCAGAACAGGTAGGCAGGCCAGGAGAGGTCTGCCACACCATAGGGGTCAGCCCCCTGGCCAGGGATCAGATTTTTGCTGCAGTAGCTGTGGATAGACTCACAGTTCTGCGCTTCAACCTGATGCACCGCCAGGGAGGGCCTCTGTTGTGTATAATTAAAAAAAAATATATATATATATATATATTTATATATATACACACACACACATATAAAATTATGTCCATTTAGGTCATTTAACATTACACAGACTAATTGGATTAAGTACCAAACCCCATTCTAAGATAGATGTCTTTGTAGTTTAATTCCCACCATCATTCAAGGTTTCATTACTCAGATGGTTTAATTAAAGCCAGCATGAAAGACACATATTAAAAGGTTTCTAGAGCACTGTAAGAGGTTGATTCAGTTAGAATGTACTTGGAGTCCTTCCCTGTTTTCCCATATGGGCCTATTTACATATAATACTTATGACTCATGACATTTCTGCCAAAGTATGAATATGCTTCCATAATTATTTCCAGTAACTTTTACAGCCTGCTGTTGACACACCAGACTCTTCCTTCTTCTAGTTCAAGAATCACTTAACCAATAATGAGTGTGCCCTTGAGCTAACACAAGGCCATCCTCCAATGGTACACTCAGAGAAACTGAAAATAGAAGTTTACCCTATGATTTTACTTATGCTTTTCTTTTACATAACTCCTACTGGGTCAACTCCTTTCCTGTCACTTGACTCCTTTATCCTTTCTGGATGATCTATAACAGTGCTTTTCAAACCTGCTGGCACATGAAAATTGCCTGGGGAGCTTTCAAAGACACAGATGTCCTCCTGCCCCAGGCCAATTAAGCCAGAGTATCAAGCACTGGTCTCACTTTAAAGCTCCCATGTGGTACTTTCATGCAGCCAATGTTGAGTGCATTGATCGGAAACAGAAGTGCCACATCCGTCCATCAGATTTAGGGGTAGATTTAACTTTTTCCACATCTTAGCAGGTTTTCATTTCCTTTAAGATGAGTATTTGCTCCATATTTTGATCCTTTTTTTGCAGGATTGTTCAACCAATTTAAAGTAACAATGAGACAAGCCAGTGCTTGATGAGATCACTGGTCCTGGCAGCAATTATTTAATGTAGTTTGAACATATTAAAAAAAGCAACTGCTGTACAAGTTAGAATCTGAGAATTGAAACTTTTTTTTTTTTTGCTATAAGATTTCTGAGTGTCACCTTCTTTCCTAGAACTCCTAAAAAAAAATGGACCAGCTGTTATTTTCTCTATGTCCAGCTCACTATTTTTGGTTTTTCACTACCTCTGATGTTTATTACATTTAACTCTGTTCCTTACACTATAGTACAAGAAATCACCTGTGATATTTTTAGAAATATCATTTCCTAACCTTACTCTTAGATGCTGATTTATTAGATCATAGAATCTTATTGTCGTATTTGAGTCTGCTCCCTTGATAATTTTTACTCAAGTCATGCGGAAAGCCCCTTTTAAAAAATAACTCAATTCCTTAAGTTGTTATTATTGTTATTTTTTTCAAAAATGAAGGAATAAAATGTATTTTTAAAAAATACCATAACATTTTTTTGTTTTCCATTCTGTAAGTGTAACACATGAAAAGTTTGTACTTAATAATTTTTTTGTAAAGTGTATACATACACATATAAGGAATAATAAATTTAAGACTCACTTTGGTGTTTTGGTTGCCACTATGTGACAAGAAAAAAGTACTTGAAAAATGATACACAGCTCAAGCCTTTAATGATCATTATTACATAGAAATATGTTATCTTGTAGAATGAAATATCCATTATTTTGGTTCTAGTTGCTCTTGAAGTAGAAACTAAAAAAGTACTCTCATGCTTTTGGATTTATAGATAACAATATTTTAATTGTTAACATGTCTACATTTTAAATTTGAGGTCAACTTTTCCTTTGGGCCCAGTAATATGTCAGTTTTTCTTTCAAGTAAACATCTACCACAACAACAACAACAAAGTAGAAAAAGTCTTTTTAAAATAATCTGAACAGTAAGAATTATATATTACTAGATATTTGTATTCTCATATAATATAAAAATGTGATGAACTTTTCTGTTTAATTAGGATAGAGCTGGAATTAGTATCATGTATTTACTGTTCTCTAATGTTATAGTTCACAATAATTTAAAGACCTATTATATAGTAAGCCTGTGTCTCACAAATGGCCATTTTCAGTTTCTTGGTAGTACAGAAGTGGAGCAGCCTAAAGGAACGGAAGTTGTGAGAGATGCCGTAAGGAAACTGAAGGTAAGAACAACCCTTCAAGTAAATGTCAGTGTGTTGATCCTGCTTAAAGTCATTAGTAGGTTAACAGAAATTCAGCTATTGGCTACCTTGGTGGCAGACTGCTTCACCTTGTCAAAAACGGGCTATTGATAAATATCAATGAATACACATCTAATAAATAGATGCACCATTACATTTCTAATGTGGTAGATTCTTCATTTTTTAAAAAATGAGTAATTTTTTTATACTCAACAAAAACGTGTCATAGCAGTATTTTGTGTGTGTTGACATTCAGCTTGCCTTTACTTTGCTTGAATCTTGCCTCAACTAAAAAATTAGTAATTGCAAAACAACTATCCGCGTTTTTGAAAGTGTGGACCTGGAGTTGATTCCAGGGCAACATCCTGCTGTGTCACTGTATTTAAAGATGTTCTAATGAACAAATCCAAGTGGATCTTGGTAATTCATGAGCAGACTAGGGCTATATGGTGAGATGAAGAGAGAAAAAGGATCTTTACTCTTAATCAGCACATTTCATGAGAAAAACTTAGGTAATAAGATGTACATGCTGATATTTATTGAATTGTACCAATTTAAAAAATTATACAGAATTCTCATCTGTATATCATTAAGAAAGCCAAACATACCCACTACTTTCTCTGCACATTTCACTGTTATTCTCTATAGCTGCTCTTACAGATTTTTTGTTGAGAAAAAAAACCTTTCTGTATTTTCTTTGTATTAGTTTAGAGATACTAGTAATAACACAGTCTCTAATTGTGCCAGGCAAAATCATAGACATTTTTTTCCATACATTTTTGCAAGACAATCTGTAGTTACTATATAGTTTCATATTTGGAAATCGACTTTTAAATAATGGTTTGTGATTTGCAATAAGATTAAAATCATGTTCCATTGACAGTAATTTTTGTCCTTCAAGTGTCTTCCAAAGTAAACATAAACATGTACATAATCAATAATCTTTATTCTGCAGATGGCAAAATTTTGTAGGTCAGAGAAACATATCTAATACTGTGATTCATAAACTTGAAAATAAATTAAACAATGCTTGTGCTCTATTTATAATTTGTCAGAAGTCATAGTCCCAACTCAAAATATACAGAAATATTCACAATTTATTTGTAAAATATGGACGCTGGTTCTTTATGCTGTTGTTATGCGGAAATGGCCAGAAGATGGTGCTATAGCTCTACTAAAAAATAGAATTTGTTCCTTCCCTTGTGGACACATCCCCCACTTTAATTCTCTGCTGTTTTTGAATTTATGTATTCTGACTGTATTTGTATCCACTATTGCTCAGTATTTTATTTCATTTGCTATGAAAAGGAATACTTTACTTATATTTAGCCATTAAAAAATGCATTATTAATGTATTGATGTCTAACTTGAAGGAATTCAACATTTAGAACTACAACAAGATGGTGAAAAATTAAAGGTTTTCAAAAATATATTTTTAATGCTTGATATATAGTGATGTCTCCTTGGATTTTCAGAAACAAATTTGATTATACAATCATTTGTCATTTTAAGATAGTTTATAATTTATAAATTTTTCTTAATATAAATTTTGTGTTAAAGCTTTACTTTCACAATCTCTGATGGAGGAAAGACTAGAAAACCAAAAGGAGGCATCATGAGACCAGATCTGAGGTGGGGGTACAGGGAAATAATAGGAGCATTAATTAATCCAGCTATAGAAATCAAGACCCTTATGCACAGTGCCCTATCACAAGGCATATTCAAGCAAGTATCAGATTGCTATAAGGCCTGGAGCACAGACCTGAGGGTAAAGATATGGAGATCAGAATCTCTGTAAAATCTCCAGTTTCTTTATGATTCTGCATAGCTGTCCAAAATCAGCTACAGTCGAACCACTCTACAAAGATGAAGTAAAACCTAACCCCCACAAAGGAGCAGCGCTTTCTGCTCCATTGTGTCTATGCAAGTGTCCTTTATTCTTTGTTCCCTTTTCTTAATATACCTGCTCTTTAAGTATAACATCTGTGTCTCATGGGAAACTCCAGGTGCCGCTGAAAGGAGAGCCCTGGTGAATTCTTTCACAGAGTCAACTCTAAGACTTCGCTCTTTAAACCCATCAATTCCAAATACTACATTAATCTCTATCAAAATTGTTTGGTTTTTATTTCAACAGTTTCTATTTCTTAATCACGCTTAGGCCTAAGATTTAGGAAAATACCAACATTTCTGTGCAAAACAATTCATTAACACTTTCAATGTCTAAAACTCACTATGATTGTTACTGTAAAATAAGCTTCATTTTTAATAGATTTACTTTTTCTTACTGCAACTAGTACAAATATCACAGGGCTCAATATACTTCATAAACCACTTACTCAGAAGGTTTACATGCATATGAATATTGGTGTATAAGGCCAAAAACTTCATGATTTCCCTTGGAGGTAACTAGAAGACAACATGACCAAGCTAGAATTTTAGAGAGACCACTTCCCTCAGTAGAGCTAAATTAAAACTACATGAAACTACCTCCAGGAACATGACCTTGGGAATTACAGTGGAATTCTATTAATTCTAGGTACAGACATTCTTCTAGGCAGCTGTACATTGTTTGTGTTTTCATAGCCAGATATTTCATCAACAAAATGTCTAAGCTTTAAATTAACTAACATTTGTATTCAGTTAACACTTCAATTAGCAATTTAGTTTACATATGCACATTTCAAATTTCTCTGCACTATGATTTGGATTATTTTAATTAAATTATCAAATGGGAGAACCACAAAGAGGAATATTTGACCCAAAGTAATAAGTTCATTAATTTGTTTGCCAATAATATATGTTCTAGTAGCATTATAGTTAGATTTTATATGGTATATAAATACATATCCAAGTTTTAGTTGTAGAGCACTATCTATCTGACCAAGAAATTCATCCACAGAAGCAAAAATGGAAAGAAATTTGCAAATGGCCCTTCAAGTATTACCATTCAAGCAGTAAATAAAGTAAATGTAAATTAAAAGTGTTTTGGAAGATAAGAAAGATGCTTACTAATAGGAAAATAGATGAACTTGTGAGCTATAGATTATAGTAATCTTAAATTTTAGGGTAAATGGTTTGAATATAAATTGTTTGAATATAAATTGATTTAGACTTAAGTATTTTTTCAATGTATGTGAAGCAGTCAAAACCAGTAACCAGTATACAAACCCAAACCTTGAAATACATGAAAAATATAAATAGGAATGTGTGTGTGTGTCTCTGTGTGTGTGTGAGTGTGTGTGTGTGTGTGAGAGAGAGAGAGGAGAGAGAGAGAGAATGCAGAAATGGTCCTGCAAAAGAAATGTTATTTTTAGTGGTTAGCTGAAAAACTAGGTTCTACATACACAACATTGCTATTCACCTATCTTATGATTAAAGTAAATAAATTCCCTGAGACTTATTTTTCTTATCTTTGAAATGGAAGGATTAGATGGATTCTTTCTGAATTATTTTTGAGGACAGTTGCTTGCTATGAAGCAGGGAGGTTTCATAGCCTTTTATTGTTATTTTTTCCTTTGTCTCATATTCATGTTTCCCTTTCTCTCCCTCCCTCCTCCCTCTGTTCTTTCTACCTCCAGGCCTACTTCCTTCCTTTCTTCTTTTTCTTCCACTCTTTCTTTCCTTCTTTTTCCTGGCAGAAAAGAAATAGCTCAACAGTAAGTTTAATATTAGTGGTTGTTTTGTGAGACTTTTTGGAAACTAAAAGAGGTCATAGGAATGGTTGTCCAGATGTGGAAAAGACCTTAAGAGCAATTGCTCATTGTTCTGGAAAAGAGCAGCAACTTGGAAGCCAGCTTATTTAGAATGCCTCTGCAGCCAAAGATGGGAATGGCTTTGTTCAGATGTGTTCACATAGATGGAGAACAGCTGATTTATTCTGTAAGCCTTTATACTTGCAAACCCCCACGTTGTTTTAATCATGCCACTGCAGGAAGGAGATTATGAAGGGAAAAGAAGCATTAAGAGAAAAATTAATCCAATTTCTGTGGGAGAGAGCTGGGATAATATTTAAAGATCTTCACCGAAGCAAAACAAGTTTCTTAAAAACATAGAAAATACTCTGGCACAAATTAATTGTGTTCGTGCTCAGAATATACTACTACTAGATTGAAAAAAAAAAAAGCTTCCTGCCTACACTCATACAAGACAGAGAGCAAGCTAAGAAGCTATACCACCCAAAATTAAATGAAAGAAATGGTACCCCCTTGGGATATCTAAGCGGATACTTCAAGGCATTCGTGGATGCATTTATTATGTGCGTCTCTATGACAGTACAAAGTCATGTAAAGAGAAGAAAGATCTTTAACCACCCTGCTCTAAGAGCGAGCCTACCATGTGTATTCACATCTGCCCTAAATTAGGGAGAAATGCACATTGCAAATAAATATACACAAAGAGGACTGAAACCCCTCTGCCTTATGTGGAATCTATTTTGAGTCCAGTTTGGATGATCCATATGCTAAAAAATTATTATACTGGGAAATAGTGTTTCGAAACCCTAAAAGATTGGTAAGGAATTCCTTTTTTTTTTTTTTTTTTGGTTGGTTATTTCCCTTCCTCTACGTTCCTCTCCCTCAGTCCATTTCTTCAAAAAAAAAAAAAAAGGGTGTGGGTAGAAAGGAAAGAAGGGCTGGGACTGTGAGGAGAGAGCCTTGTTACCACATTAAATCAGGGCACTCCTTGAACTTTGGAATTCAGGTAAACAATGTGTAATTTTTTAGTCTAAATATTTACAAATATTGCATAGGACAGTGTACTAAATAGCATATAATTTGTGTATGTACAGAGGTAAAGAGTATGTACATGTACTCTAAAAGTATTAAAAGATTTTTGTGTAGGATTCAGATTTAACTATTTCTTAATTTTCTACACCACTGAAGCTGGTAATACTGACAGCAGAGACAGAGAGTCCATCTAAGTATATGAGTTTCTGATTTTCTGTTTTATATTATAACAAAACCCAAAAAGAATTTACATGCACTTACTAATTCAATGAGAAGATACAAGAAGTAATGGTATGGACCTCCCTGGTGGCCTAAGGGTTAAGTCACAGCACTTATCACCACAATGGCCTGAGTTAAGTTGGAAGCCAGGAACTAGCCCACATATGGTGCAGGAGACCCCTCCTGTCTTGCTGCTGTTTCCTTGACTGTGTAGTTCATGGGCCTCCCTGGTGCACAGGGTTAAAGACAGACAGCTGTCCTGCTATCGCCAGTCACTGAGGCCTGAGTTCCATCTTGGCCTTTAAGGAGCTGACTGACATGGCGCAGCAGACATTTCTGTCTTGCTCACTGCTCCCCTCAGCACTGTATTTCAGCCGCCTGTTTGTTCCCCACTCTGTCTCTGATGAATCCTTTCACTTCCTGCACTATTGACCTACACCCCAATTCTTCTATACAAAAATAAAAATAAAGCGATTTTAACTTATTAGTAAATTATGATTTCTATGTAATTTAAAACTATGTGGGTTTGTAAAATGTTCTTAATGAATTATAACTTATAGGAAATTCAAACACTGATACAAACTCCAAATATATATATTTATTTGTGCTTATTATCCACAGAAAGCTAACTGTTGCTCTGTGAATAATTTTCATTTCTAGTTTGCAAGACATATCAAGAAATCTGAAGGCCAGAAAATCCCTAAAGTTGAACTGCAAATATCCATCTATGGAGTAAAAATTTTAGAGCCCAAAACAAAGGTAAGGCTAATTTTTGAATGTCAGAAGTACTATAATCTTTATTTAATTGCAATTATCTTCTATTTTAGTGAGTATTTAATATTTTTCTAATTGGAATTGTTTTCTCCTCAGCTACTGAGCATTAATAACCTCTGTAGGATTTTTAAACAGGGAAAAACAATTTTTAGGATAATTTTCTTAGTAAAATGTCCTTCAGCCTCTCTTTGAAATGTCATAATTTATATAAAGTACATTTCCATATGTTTGTTCTTCATCTAGGAATTTTTCTGCATGTGCTGTTGAAGAAATGCATAAAATATAGTTCACTGAATATGAAAGAAAACAAAAGCTGTGTGTTGTTTATTAAGATGTCCTGTCCTGACTCTTACTGCCTCTAGACATAAGTATTCTGTATTAGTTTACTGGGAACAGCTATAAGATATCAAAGACCTGATAGCTCAAATAACAAACTTACTTTCTCATAGTCCTGGAGGCTGAACATCCACAGTTAAGCTGACAACAGGTCTAGCTGTATATAATATCTGTCTATCTCTCCTGGGGATGCGGGTGCCCATCCTCTTGTTTGCTCTTCAGTGGCCCTCTGTGCACACACATACCTGCTGTGCGTCTGATTTCTTATTCTGAGGGCATCCATTGGCGCCATCCTATTCACTCATTTTAACTTAATCACCCTGCTCAGTTTCCACATAGATTTACACTTTAAGGTCCTGGGGTAAGACTTGACATGTTAAGTTCAACCCATTAACACTGTGTAAACTTAAATTTCTGGTACTGAAGGGTCTTCTTTTTTATAAACCTAGGGTAAAAATTTAAGATATAGCCAATTCTGCATTCATGTTCATTATAATGTACTTGATATGGACTAAATTGTTCCCACTCAAAATTCCTGTGTTGAAAACATGACCTCCACTATGAGAAGACAGCTATCTACAATTCAAGGAGAAAAGCTTCATCAGAAACCAAACTTGCTGATACCCTGCTTTTAAACTTTAAGTCTCTTGAACTGTGAACAATAAATTTCTGTTGTTGAAGCCACCAGTGTATGGTATTTTGTTAAGCAGCCCTAGTGAAATAATGTAGTACTTTCTTTAAAATACTTAAGAATTTTTGTTTAGTAATTTTGATAAAAATATAAATAATTGAGGCTATATCAAACTAAAACATGACTGCATAGTGAAAGAAATTGTCTCTTAAAAAAAAAGACAACCTACTGAATAAAAAACATATTTACACACCATATACATGACAAAGGGCAGATATCCAAGATCAACAAAAACCCATACAACTCAACAAAAATAAATCAAATAACCCAACCAAAAGTTGGGTTGAAGAGCTAAATAGATACTTCTCCAAAGAAGACAGATGGTCAAAGGGCTACAAAAAAAAAAAAAAAAAAAAAAATGCTCATCACTATTGTAAGGTAAATGCAAATTAAAATCATGAGATACCACCTTACCCCTGTAGAAGGGCGCACATTAAAAAGACTAGAAACAAGTGTTCATGAGAGTATGAGAAAAAGGAACTAATTTACACAGTTGATGGGAATGCAGAAAATGAATAGAGCTTTCTGGGGCCTCCCTGGTGCCACAAGCAGTTAAGTCTCAGCACTATGAAGCTGTAAGCAGCCACTGCAGCATTAGTTTGATCCCCAGCCAGGGAGCTGACCCACATGGTGCAGCAGACTTCTCCTGTCTCGCCCTCTGCTCCTCTCAACAGTGTATTTCAGTAGCTCTGCTTCTTCTGCTCCCCACTCTGTCTCTGGTGAATCCTTTCACCTCCTGCACCTCTGGCCTACACCCCAGCTCTTATATGCATATATAAATAAAATAAAACTTTAAAAATATATAGACGTTTCTCAAGGATTAAAAAAAGATCTGTCATATGATCCAGCAATCCCCCTCTTAGGTACCTATCCAAAGAATACTACTTTGAAGGGAAATATACACTCCTATGTTATTGTAGTGTTACAATTTCCAAATTATGGAAACAAGCTACCTGCCAAAAATAATTGAATGAATCAAGGAGATGTGTATTCATTGTGTATGTCCATAGTGAAATACCACTCAACTATCAAAAAACAGAAACATTTTTTTTTCATTATTGCAATATGGATGGAACTAAAGGGGATTATGCTAAGCAAAATAAGTCAGAAGGAGAAACACAAATGCCAGATGGTGTCACTTGTATGTGAAATATAGAGAAACCAGACAAATGGTCAGATAAAGTGAAACTAACTGCAAAATGTAGAAAGCTGACTATAGAACTGAAGCTACCATTCTTTTATTGAACACTTAGATTGCTTCCAATTTTTCATGAGTTAATACAAAGAAAATATAGGTATGACTACAGTATACAGAGAGAACTTCTTCGATGTTGTAATTGAGTTTTTGTAATGTCATATCCTTAGAAAACCATAAAATATAAAGATTTAAAATTACTACAAAATGACTAATACTAATGTCTTAGGTACATGTGGAGTGTGTGTGTTTGAGTGTGTGTGAGAGAAAGAAAATGAGAAAGAGATAGATAGATCATACAAATACACATGTAATGCAATACTATTAATCAGGAGTTCTAGAGTTTCCCAATAATGAATTCCCCATAATAATGTGATTCCCCATTGTCAACATGTCAAGGATGTATCATTCTGTTCCCTAAATGTTCACTATTGAATTTCGGTGTCACTCCAACCTAAACATTATTTACAAAACTTCAAAGAATGGGGTCCAGTATAGTTAGCCAATTGACTTTCAACAGCTTATTTTCTTAGCCAAATTGGTAAGACCAATCTGTTCTTTCCTATCTCATAGTCTTATTTTGCAATTTCAATTGAATTTGCTCTTAAAAATTAAAGTTTCCAAGTTTTTAATGGAAAAGAAACATCACTGTTTTCATCAAACTTTAAGAGAAATCTTGGACTTTTCAAATATTTGAAATGTTTTATAAATGCAGTTGCACTCAGGTAAATAGAGAGCAACTGATTCTTTATCCAAACACTTACTATATATGACCATAAAGTATCTGACCCTTTACCCATATATACAGTGACTAGTTCTTAACCCATACAAAGATATAATCTACTAAAGGGGCTTTCTTAGCTTTCTGAGTAACGATGTCACTTACTTCTGTGAATGCTGATTACTCAGGCCCACCCAGTCTTATCAAGTTTCAAAATCTGCAGAACATGTCTTAACATTTGTATTAAAACAAAACCCAAAAGCCTCCCTGGAGAACTCTGATATAACCTGAGCACTATTTTAAAGTGACATGAATGAAGCAAAATAGAAAATAAAATTAATGTATAAGTTTTACACTCATGAGATAGGATTTAAAATTTTGCTATTAATCTGATGTCACTATACAGATGGTAGACTATTCTTCTTTCTATCCCATTTGGAGGAATGGAAATGGAAGTGAAAGCAATTTCAATTGGTTCCAATTATTTCTTTCTGTACCTTTTCACCTTTCCACTTTTCTCACTTGTCCTCCAAAGGAAGATAATACAGTGCTAGAAAGAGGTGGTATAGAAGAATTAGGGATTTTCTTATTTTTTTTTCAACTCTAATAATAGCACCAATGTTAAAGAATAATTGTCTGTGCTTTATTGTGTCCCATTTATTTCCCTCATCTTACCAAAAATCAGTCTTTCATTGTATGCACTAAATGATAAGATATCAAAGGGTTTCTTGGTAAGTATTTTTTTTTTTGTTACTATCTGATGGCCTAATCCATCCACTTATTTTGAAACATGTAAAGACCTATCAAAAGAACAAAAAATTCACAAAGTAATAAAATTACAAATTTCAGCTCTCTAATCTTCTTTTGTAGGAAGGCAAAAATTAGGATGATTCCTAACTGTCATAATCAAAGGATTTCTGTGATCAGACTAGTTGGTAGTGAATGTGGGACTGTATAGATTTTACCATCAGTTATGTAAATGGTGCATTTTCATGTTACTTGAATATGAAAGGAATCATTTTTATATAGTTTATAGCAATGACTATTCTTTTTTATGTGTCATTCACGTGATTATGCAAAAATAAACTGGGTTAGAACTGTTTTCAGTGTCTAAGAGCCACAGTGTAACTGAAGCCTGTTGTTTGTTTCCATTAACAATAAAACAAGAACTATGTCAGTAAGAGAGAACTATTGGAAATGTCATTTTTCATTGGTGCACTAATTGCAAAAATGAAAAGATGAATCTCATCAAGAACCTTAAGAATCTGAGAGCTTATCTTTTTATTATTATTCCTTCCTGTTGAAGTGGATGGATTAGGCATCAGATAACAAAAAAAAAAAAAAAATACAATGTAATCTGCATTTTAATCTGCATACTTACCAAGAAACCCTTTGATATCTTATCATTTGGTGCATACAATGAAAGACTGCAGTGCCTTAGGCAAATTCTCTTAAAATGTATTTACATATCTCAATTTATATACTCAAATTTTGTCTGGTGAGAAGGAATTGAAACAGTATAGATAAGTATTAGCAAGCTTACACATCAGCACTGAATTTGGAAATATGTAATGTCAGATGATTGGTACATATACATGAAAAAATATCAATACCTAATTATAATATTCATCTTTTTGTTTATCAGCTTGTTGAGTAAGAGAGTTAAAAATTGAAGATGTTGATCTTCCTCATTTACTCCCATGGAAAACACAACAGAAGTTGCAAGAATGATTTTTTTTTTAAAGATTTATTTATTTATTCATACAGAACTGGGGTACAGGCCAGAGCTGTGGGGGCATTGAGAGGCTTCACCAAGACAGAGTGGGGAGTAGAGCAGGCAGATCAATGAAATATACTGCTGAGGAGAGCAGCCAGCAAGTCAGGAGAGCTCTGCTGTGCCATGTAGATCACCTCCGGGGCAGGTGGGGATCGAACTCATGCGGAAGTGGCTTTGGTTTCTTAGTGCTGTGCTTTAGCTGAGCCACCAGGAAGGGCCTGCAAGAATGATTTTATGAATTGTTATGAAAATGTGTGAAACACAGCTTAAAAAGAAAAACTAAGAGTGGTAATATGTTTCATGAAATTGTATACAGCTGAAGTTATATTTTTATACTGGAATGCTTGCAGTAGAAGGTAGATGAAGTATTCTGATGAAAAAGAATTCTGTAAATTTCATAACAATTTGGAAATATCTTAATCTCTCTGGACTACACTGTGCTAAGAAAATAACAAGGTTTAAAGTAATGATATTTTAAGATTACTTATACCTGAGATAGTCCATAACACTCTGATCCTCTTGTATTTTTCTAAGCACTATAAAAATGACTTTTAATTTAGTACTGAGTTAGGAACGAAGTCATTTCTATTATATATTTGTTTAAGTTTGGAATGTACACAGTTATAAAATCCAAATGTGACACAATTATTTCACTTTTAAAATAAGTTATGTTATTAACACAAGCTCATACCTGAGAAAAATCAGGAAAAATCTCATCAACTGTGTTTATTTCTATTTATATTCACAGGAAGTCCAACACAATTGCCAGCTTCATAGGATATCATTTTGTGCAGATGATAAAACTGACAAGAGGATATTCACTTTCATATGCAAAGATTCTGAGTCAAATAAACATTTGTGCTATGTATTTGACAGTGAAAAGTGTGTAAGTATGCCAGATGTTTTAGGGTGGCTTATTCTCTTTTACAAGCCAAGAATTGTCTTGTTTCCGGCATTAGTAAAGTATTTGGAAATGAGTAAGGTCTGCAAATACTTAACTGCACTAATAGATTCATTGTGTCATGAGAATATGCTTCAGGGTTCATCCCTAACCAAATTCTCATGTTCGTGGGTACAAGTTTGCATGCAAATTTCTTTTCTTAGACAGTCATGCTTGCTTATGTTGTGCATTCATTTCTTATAATCATTTATTTGTAATTTTAATCTCAGATATGTTACAGTAATATGCTGATAATAGAATGAATAATGGTGAGCTGAGTACTTTTTTTACTGCCTCAATTTGGTTAATCTGCTGAAAATATGTATTTTAAACTCCAAGAGAGAAAACCCTTATCATTCATCTTTTTTAAAAAAAAATCTCTAATACTTTGAAAATTTGCTTCTTGATTTTCATTATTCTGAAATTGTAACTTTGCAAAAGGTAATAGAATTGTGTTCAGTGATGTGTTTGTAAATATAAAGTTCTTAAGATGTTAGGACAATCATTGAAATAAGTCATTAATAGTTCTTTAATTCTCTGGAAGTTTAAGGAAACCCCTAGTTCTTTACTATAAATATAATCATCATATTGTCTCAGATCCTATTATACAATGTAAGGTCAGACTTTCTACCACACATTGCCTCCATGAAGGCTACAGTAAAGGAAGGACAATTAACCTCAACAACTGTGTTGACTTAGGCTGAAAAAGAATTTAATTAATTTGTTCATTTTTCATGTTATAAAAAGATAGAGGACTAATATTATCACTATTATATAATTTATTTCTCTGGTTTTAGTAGGTTAACTTTGAACAAATACCTTTTTCTTGTCTGTGTAATTCTTACATCAAATGGAGAATAGCTTTTCAATGCATTTTTTTAAGGAAAAAGCAGTATCAAAAAAAATTTATCAAAGTGGAGAAAATTATTATCTATATCTTTTAAAAACTATAGTGTTTTCAAAAGACAAATTAATATATTAACCTATTCATAATCATGCCTTTTTAGAACTTGACGAACACTATAAGTCAGAAAAATATACTTACCAATATAAGATGTGCATAAGAAGGTATCTTATATGAAGTTCAATTTGATTTTTAGTTTTATCCTAAAGATGGTTTCCTCTATGTGACTGAGACCTAAGTTGATATCTGTTGAATATCCTCTATATGTAAGATATAATAACCTTTTGTACTTGCATCAAGAAGTTAACTAATTTCTTTCTTGTTGGCTTACCCATGGAAATACACTGCCTCATAATCTTTCAAATATTCATTATCATTATCAAAGTTCTTTATAAATAATAGCCTTATTACATTTTAAGGCTATGAGTTTTTTTTTTCTCCATTTGATTCCCACCCAAAATTGTTACATGATTATTTAAAACATAACCTTGCTAAGATTTCTGTGTTATATTGTTTTAAAACACAGGCTCTTTTCCTGGCTGATCTTGATTTCAATTCATTTTCTGAATTTTAAATTTCTTACCCATAACTCTCTTTGTATATTAGCTTTATTTTATCTTTAAGGTTAAAAATAATTATTGAAGCCTTCAGCAGTAACTTCCACTGTTAGTGTACATATATTCATAAGGAATGCCTTTTAAAAATACAACTCTTTGGTTTCTGTTTCTAAATGTAAGTTCTTATCTATTTGTGTTGGAGCTAACAAAAATCTGCACTTAGCAAGTGCTATAAATGGAAGTCTTGGCTTAGAAATGCAAGGGTACAAAAAATCTCTGCCACTCTATGTTGCCATTACCTTCATGAACTCAAAAAAATATTTCTTCAAAGTTTCATTATATTATTTTAATAATGATATTTTATTTGGCCTATTAGAATAATGAGTATATTCATAAAATTAATATGTGTATAGAATTTTTGAAAGGTTACCCTTTCTAATTCCATTTTAAGTAATCAATTATGGAACATTAAAACAGGAAAATAGTTATAGTCCACTTGGTACACTCCTTTCTCTTATTTTTAAGAAATGACAGAGAAGTGACTTCTTCAACATGACCAATTAGGTATTAACAGACACAGATTTAAAATGTATCAGAGCTTATATTGCCATCAGAGCATTCTTTCCATCATGCTAAGTTACTTCCATAACTGTGACCCATTCCAGGGTCCATCTACTCTTACTGAGGTCTTTGTTTCATTCCTTCGTTGTACTCTATGTTTTCAGAATTAATGTGAAATTGTTGAGAGCTTGAAAGATAGATGGAATTTATCTAGTATGTCACAGACTGGAGTTAGCTACTTTTTTAACCACATCATGTTGTGTTGATAACACTCTCCCAGCATGACAGTGAGGATCACATGGGAGGCTAGAGTGCCCATCCTTGTCAGACAGGAATGAAAAGAGGCCCAGTGAGGAAGCTAAACCTCTCTCCCCAGTGAGGCAGCAGTGACATGGTTCTGTCTCACTATCATTCCTCTACCAGAACTGTGTAAGAAGCAGCCACATAATTGATAACATTTAAATAATATTTACAGTAACATAATGTCCAAGATTCAATTGAAAATCATTCAGCAAGATAAGGAAGATTTCAAATAAATGAAATAGTTGACCAATAGATCCCGACACTTAGATGAGAGTAATATGAGAAACAAAATTAAAAATACAATAATGAGGCCCTCCCTGGTGGCGCAGCGGGTTAAAGCACTGCACTAAGAAGTTTAAGCCACTTCCGCATGAGTTCGATTCCCGCCTGCCCCGGAGGTGACCACATGGCATGGCAGACCTCTCCTGACCCGCCCGCTGCTGCCCTCAGCAGTGTACTTCGTCGATCTGCCTGTTCTGCTCCCCACTCTGTCTCTGGTGAAGCCTCTCACCACTCCTGCACCTCTGTGCCCCAGTTCTGTATGCACAAATAAATAAATCTTTAAAAAAAAAAAATACAATAATGAAATTTAAAATTTTTTTTTAAAAACTCAGTGTACAAAAAAAAAAATTCAGTGTACAGATTCAGTAGCTTCAGAAAGGTGGGGGCAGAAGAATATTGTAAAAAAAAAAACAAAACAACTGTCAAGTCAGAGACTTGGAAAGTGAGAAAAGAAGAGTAACCTTAGAAATAAACACTTGAAGATACAGTCTTTCAAACATAACGAATTTAGCAAAACATATATTCAAGAAATTGAATGAGCAGCAAACAGAATAAATCCAAATATTTCTACACAGAAACACAGCATAGTTCTGCAAACTCTAAACAAAGACAGTCCTTGAAAACAAGACAGACATGTCCTATAGCAGAAAATTAATTTGAAAGACAGTATTATCTCATTAGAAACCATTAAAGCAACAAAGAAGCAACACAAAGTATCTTGCCCATTATAAAACAAAAAAAAAAGAACAACTACCAAACCAGATTCCTATGGCCAGAAAAAAAAAATGTCAGGAATTAAAAAGAAATTAAAAAAATACCAGATAAAGAAACACATGATACAACACTAGTAGCCCTGCCCTGAATGAATGGCTAGTGGAAGCTCCCTAAACAGAAGAGACACAATAAAAAAAGGAGACTTGGAACATGAGGAAGGAAAAAATAACAGGATATGCCAACATGGGAAGTGTTTTCTTTCTCAATTATTATTGACAGTAGAAGCACAAAATACTCTCTGATCTGACTCTAAATCTCTATATAGAAAATGCAAGGCAATTAATTACTTCATAAAATAGGGGAAGACTGAAGGGATGTAAAAGACTTTAATATCTCATTTGCACTGGAAAAATGAAAACACTGCTAGACTGTAATAAGTTATGTAAGTATAGTGTATATTCTAGGGCAATCACTAAAAAAAAACTATACTGTGAGAAACATTTAAAAACACTATGGGTCAATTAAAATTTTATAATAAAAATGTCTTCAAAACCCACATGAATATAGTGAATTTACATAGAATTAAACATATTTTTTCGGCCCTCTCTAGTAGCACAGGGGATTGAAGCACAGTTTTAAGAAGCTAAAGCCACTTTAGCATGGGCTCAATCCTGAGCCCTGGAGGTGATCCGCATGGTGCGGCAGACCTCTCCTGATTTGTCCGCTGCTCCCTTCAGCAATGTACTTTGTCATTCGGCCTGTTCTGCTCCCTACTCTGTCCCAGTGAGTCCTCTCACTACCCCTGCACTTCTGGCCTGTACCCCAGTTCTGTATGTATAAATAAATAAATCTAAAAAAAATGAATTAAACATATTTTCAATTTTGACAAGAAAACTACCAACCCTCGATGTTTTTATTAATTCTAAAAAAAAATTGATATTAAAAGTGCAAGTTTTATATAACCCCAGAATTTGAAGAATATCAAAAGTACTCCTAAAATCATTTTATAAAGCCATTGTTACTTTCAAATAATAACTAACAAAGATCTTACCAAAACAGTGATAATTTTGGGTCAATGTTTTTTATAATATAGCTTTCACACTCTTCAATATAGTAATTCCAAACTGAGTTCAGCAATATATATAGATATAAAGTGAATTATATATTCTAACCTCATTGGGTTTATCTGAGGAATACAAGGTTGGTTGAACATATGAAAGCCCTAATTCAACATAATAATTAAACAGCAACAACAATAAAATCATAGTAGATGCAGGAAAGGAACTAGACAAAATTCTGACTAAGTGATGATAAAATTCACAACATCTTAGTAGTAGACGGTATTTCTTATTCCAATACTGTAAGTTATGTCATAATTAATGGTGAATTATTGGATGCTTTCTCTTAAGATTGGTAACAAGGTAAGTGAAGTTTACTTCACTAAACTTTTTGTTTATCTATAAACTGTCTTAGTAAAGGAAATGACAAGTCAGATACAGATATTTGAAAAAGAATTTATATACATAATTTATAATTTCTCAGCATCAGTATCACAACACAAAAATCTAATTCAAATAGGGAAGAGATGACATTGTTTATGCAGTTCTTTAACGAAAATATAAGAAAAGCTGAAGATCACATGAAACTAGACTACTAAGTATTAAATGGGGAAATTCAAATTAAAAATATATTGAGATAGCATCACTCATTGAGTAAAATAACTGCTGTTTTAAAAAACTCAATATGTGATATGGAATAATTAGAAATCTTACTGCTGAAGGGAATGTAATTTATTCATTGGATAAATGTAACTTACCCAATGAATTATCCAATGAATTATGTAACTTCTGTTTTTTTGTTTTTTATGAAAGATCTTATATAATTTCCTACACATAGTTTACTCTTTCAATTACTTTGGAAAACAATTTTATGGGTGTGTTTTTTTTAATGTTAAGCCTAGATCTATCCTATATTTACTAATTCCATTCTATTTACTTAGATATGATACTATATATCTCCAAAAAGACTTTACAAGAATATTTAAAACAGTTTTATTGTTAACTAAGAACTGAGTTCTTATTCCTCTCTAGATGTATTCCTCTCTAGGATCATAGATCTAAGCAGTAATTGTCAATAAGAAAAGTGATTTGGCTGAAGGGGCAGACATAAGAAAACTTTTATATCTTAATTAATTTGGTGCTTATATAGTCTAGATTTATCAAATCACCTCATTGTATAACTATGCCTTGTACATCTCATTTTATATTAATTATACCCTTCCCTCCTAAATGTATGAGGCTTCCCAAGTCAGATATTCTGGATTTGAACTCCAGAGTCTTTCTACTCACTCATCATGAGATCTTAGGCAAGTTAAACAACCTCAGAATTACAATTGCATTGCATGCATTGTGGAGATAATAACAATCCCCAAATCAGAGCCATTATGAGAATCAAGTGAGGTATTATATGCTCAATATTACCAGACCATTAGATGGTCTCTTAATAAAAGGATATGTCTTAACATAAAATATTTGTCTTATAAAAAGACAATTGGTTTTTATGCCAACAATGTGAAGTCAAGTGTTTTCAATGATGTATCAACAGTATTACTTTAAAGATTTTCTATAGTATACACATTGATTATTTGAAGATAACATCTTATTAACAGGGAACATCGATATCATAATTAAGTAAAATGAAATTTTATTATGAATAAATTAACTATTAAGTCTAATTAGAGTATTAAAATGTAGAAAATAGCCATAATTTTAAAATATTTTATGTTGAAATTTTTAGAAACAGAAAAAAAATCATTTTACTTCTACAACCTATCATGACCACTTTTATTATATCTTGTTATTACATATAATCTCAAGATCTAATACACCGCAATTTTTTTTCATAGATACCCTTTCCATTAGTCTGAATCATTGGACACAAAATTTAGTATATGGGATTTAGCTTTTTTTTTTACTATTCTTTGGTGTAACTTCTGTTTTTTCTTTTTTTATGAAACATATAATTTCCTACATATAGTTTACTATTTCAATTAACTGGGATAATAGCTACAAAATTTTTTTAATAAATAAATGTCCTCCTTAAACAAATAGTGAAATCAATTAAAATGTCTTAAGCAATCTGAGTTTTATTTAAAAGCATGTTTTTAATTTAGATTGATAATAAAAGAGTTGACAGTAGATTAAACCATGGTGTTTTTAAGATTTAATTTTACTACCAGTTTTTATGTCATTTGGAGGTCTTGTAGATAGATATGACATCTTTGTGATGCATTAAATCAGTTAATGCCTTTACCATGTCTCCTTATAATAATGTTAATTAAATACATAGATCTTTATTATTTACATAATATATGGCACTATGCTATTGATCAAGATATAAATTTGAGCTAATGAGTTGATGGACTTTGGATATTTGTCATAGTTTTTAGTTATACAATTGATCAGAGATTGTAGGCCATTTATGGTAGCAAATTCAGCTAAAATATATTTTGTTCAGTGAACACTATTTTATGAGAATACTGTTTACCCTAACTTAAACTGAAAGCTCTCATAAAAAACAGATCTCTGACTTCATCTCAAATTTAACTGACAATTCTGAGTTGGAATTGCAAATTTTCACAAATCAACAAAAATGGGAAGTGAGAGTGGCAGTTGCTCCATTTAGAGAGAGCATACCTCAAGTTTCCACAGACCCCACCCAGCCGGCCTCATTCGAGTCACCTCCAAGTTTAACAAACACTTCTCCCTAGGAAATAAGTAGTAATGAGAGAAATGGCAGCTGGAAAATTAGGGAAAAACACTCTAATAAAAGAGATGAGAAAATGGACAGAACTCTGGCCGCCAATTTCTATTTGTCAAACTTTTGTTGTATGCTTTGCATGGTTAAGCACTGAACTGTTATGTGAGCATAGACCACTCTGCTCACTAATCCCTTCTCCACCCCCAGCATTGCCCCTTTGAAGTAACTCTTGTAAATGATTTTGTTGATTCAAAGAACAGTTTGATATGCTATTACTAAATGTAAATCTTCTTTGATTGTTACAAAGGCTGAAGAGATAACTTTAACAATTGGTCAAGCATTTGACCTGGCATACAGGAAATTCCTAGAATCTGGAGGAAAAGATGTTGAAACCAGAAAACAGATTGCAGGGTTACAGAAAAGAGTGAGTAAACTAAGTTTGTTTTTTCACATTTATGTGATGTAAACACAGGGAAACTTGCATATCATCAAACAAATTTAGAAGGCCTGCCATTAAATTTCCCCCACACTGATTGGAACTGCTTTCACTGTGTTCCTATAATTTTTCATTCCTGATCCCCTGCACAGTTTTTAACCATTTTATATTGAATTCCCACAAGAACTTAGTGTTCTCATGTGACTTTGCTTCACTTCCTGATGCTTCTCATGGGGATCAGAGCAGCAGAAGCAGCAGATGCTGGGTAAGTGGTTTCCCATGCAGATCAGATTCCTTTGTAATTAAATTACACCCTCTCTCCACTCTTCAAAATCATCATGAGCAAGTTTCACTGTCTTGCGGTTGTGCTCCAAGATCATGGGCACAGATTGCACAGAACAACAAGAAAATACACTGATGAGGCATGAGGAGCATGAAATTTGCACACACATTAAAACATATTTTAAATTTAATAAAATATGTCTTTCCAGTGACCTAGAAATCTCTGATATTTCCCAAGCTTTATCATATAATTTTTTTCCCCATGCACAAGAGTACATTTTTAAATAACATGAAATCCTATCCATGAATGTAGCCAATATAACAACCAATATTTTCCAAGAAAAAGTCTCTGAAGATTATTCAATAATCATTTGCTTTTTAGATTCAAGACTTAGAAACAGAAAATATGGAACTTAAAAACAAAGTACAAGATTTGGAAAACCAGTTAAGAATAACTCAAGTTTCAGCATCTCCTGTGAGTATAAAGAGCATGTCCATGTTTTCCTTCATGGTGACAAAACATTTCTGAATCTTTAATGCTGCAATATTTTAAATAATACTCTTTCATTAAAAAATTTAAACCTAAGCAGGGTTACAAAAAACACTGGAAATTCAACACTCAATTCTTTTTTTTTTTTCCATTGGGTGGCCTATTCTTTCTTTCACTCCTCTTATTATTTACTGAGGTTAGATTCAGCAGTTATGCTAATCTAGAGGTTAGATTCAGCAGTTATGCTAATCTACCTCTGGAATTCTGAACTTCATTGTAAAAATTGGGCTGTTAACAATACTGAATTTAGTTTCCTGTGTTACACAGCAACATGTGCAACAACATACAAATACACAATTGTATTTCAGAAACTGAAATGAGTGGTAGTATCTGAAACATTCAGGTATTTATAGGTAAATTACTTTTAGTTTATCATCACCTTGAAATCCTCTTCTCTGTATCGCATGATGCCCTTCATGATTTTGGCTAATAGAATCTTTTGGAGGGAGGTGGAATTTAAATTTTTTTTCCTAAGGAAAATTATCCAGGAGAATATTTCTTCTTTTTGAATCATCTACACTGCTAATACTATTAAAGTATATATTTTATTTTACTTTGCACTTAAAAATATTTAATATATAAATTATGGTATACTATGAACTGAATCAATTAGAACATATGCAAACTTTTGAAAATAATTTTTGTTGCAAATTTCTATGTAGTTTTACTCTCTATGCTAACTCAAAGAAAACTCTTTAGGGTATATATATTATGTATATATATACACACACACACACACATATATAAGGTGTATTTATGTTATATATATATATATGTATACGCACACACACACATATAGCCATGTACTGCTGGTATATTTTACCTGTTAATCTTTCCATCACCATGGAGAATGTGCCTATAACAAGTGAGATTTATGATTTCAAATTAGGTGTGTCCTAGAAATAGGTCAAAAATCTTTCCTCCAAACCATCTTCTACACTGAGCCTCTGGTATTTCCATTTCCATTGCTTGGCATGTAGTTTGTGATAGCGAGGCTGTCATGGCAGATATGAGAAAGCTTCCTGTGTTTCTGAGGGACATTGCTGTGCACAACGAAGTACTGGAACACCCCTCTTCAGATTTTTACTTTATTATAGCATCCTTCATGGCTTGTCTCTTCACTACCATCTCTATTTGCTTCTCATCAAAATTATATATTTTTTAAATTTTTGTTCTTGCTACCCCCATCTGAAGGAACAGACTATTGTTGGGTCATACCCCTCTCAACCTTTGATTCCAAAACAGAGTAATGCACTTTGTTGTCTTATTGAAAGTCTGAGTTTAAGACATCCTGTGAAACGAACTAGTAATATAAAGTAAATGAAGGAGAAGTTAATTTTTCAAGCAGTTATTTATTTATTTATTTATTTTAAAGATTTATTTATTTGTACATACAGAACTGGGATACAGGCCAGAGGCTCAGGGGCTGCGAGAGGCTTCACCAGAGACAGAGTGGGGAGCAGAACAGGCAGTTCGACGAAGTACACTGCTGATGATTGTAGCAGGCTGGTCAGGAGAGGTCTGCCATGCCATGTGGTCACCTCCGGGGCAGGCGGGGATCGAACTCATGGATCGAACTCATGCAGAAGTGGCTTTAGCATCTTAGTGCTGTGCTTTAACCCACTGCGCCACCAGGGAGGGCCATCAAGCAGTTTTAATAAGGTAGTTGTTTCTGGAATTCATTTCATATGAAAAGTCGTTGTAATTCATTCAATTTTGTGTTTACATAGAAATAAAATAAGGGGTCTTCCTGGTGCCACAGGGCTTAAAGTCTCAGTACTATCAAGCTATCACCAGCTCTTGTGGCAGGAATTCAATCCCTGGCCAGAGAGATAACCCACATGGAGCAGCAGACCTCTCCTATCTTGCCTGCTGCTCCCCTCAGCAGTGTACTTCATCAATCTGCCTGTTCTGCTCCCCACTCTGTCTCTGGTGAATTATCTCACCACCTACACCTGTGGCCCATACCCCAGTTCTTATATACATAAATACAATAAAAATAACTTAAAAAAAGAAATAAAATATGATCCATCAACTTTTGGATACATAGTCCTGCAGAAGAAGAGCTAAGTGCATCATTTAGAGCAAAGTCTATTTGGAAAGAATAAAGGAGTTTTGGGTGATGATAAAACAGCCCTCCCCTCTTTTATCTTCTGAAAGCACCAGGACAACTGAGCAGAAGGTGGATCAGGGTCAGGGGCTATCTATGGGCACTGAGGATCTCGTATGTTTACCCAATCAGCAATTAAAAAGCTTCCATGTTATGGAGAAAGAGAGGGAGGTAGGCCATAATTACATAGGCAAAGAATAACAAATTTTAAAATTCAGGTCTGATCCATACTATAAATAAATTAGAGTAGAAAAGAAGATAACTGAAGTTTTCTTTTAGAGATAGTAATCAGAGGAGCTTTTTCTGAAAAGGCAGTATATGAATTGAAACCTGAGTGGTTGAAAAAATAATCAATACAAAGGGTGGAAAACAGTGACAAGAGATTTGTGCCTGTAGCAAAGTTACCACAAGCCAACTTAAATGGAGAAGTAGGATTATATGACTGCTCTATGCACCATAAAGGCCAATGTGAGTTCTCCATAACTATCTCTGTGGTTATATTCGTGGTCAGAGAAAGGGAAGAAGGTAGATAGAATGATCTAGAATTCTATCACATGAGAATATGAACACAACTTGATTCTTGATATATTTTGGGAAAAAAGCTTACAGTATTTACTAATGGATTGGACAAGACTGAAGCAGGAAAAAGGGGTCAGGCTGACCTTTTAAGATTTATCTGAGCTTCTTGGTGGTAGTATCATTTTCTGATATAGACATGACTAGAGGGAGGTGAAAAGGAATCGATATTTCACTGTTGTTCATGTTACTTCTGCCTACTGGACAGCCAGTTGGAGATACTTACTAGTTAGTTGGATGCACAAATCAGGAATTCAATGATAAGATATGGGCTTATGATATAGTAATTGCATGAATTCTTTTTGATCTTTTTCTATCACCATTTGGACTGCTTTTCATTGTTTTAGTTACAACCAGTATAAATTAACTTCTTTTTGTAAGAACACAAACTAGAGACTTGTGCTTGGGAATAAGATAAAACAACTTTCTTAACTCCTAAAAAAAAAAAAAAAAAAAAAAAAGTGTATCTTTAACATATATCCCAAACTCTTTTTCAGTAAAGCAAATTCTTCATATGCATGATGAACGAAGACCACTTCTGTTTTTCATTTTCTCATATAAATTGAATGCTACTTTTTAACTTGTCCTTAACAAACAGAATGCTTACATGTCTCCTTTCAAATGCCACTCAAAGTTTCAATTATGGGTTTCTTTTCTGGCAAACAAAATAGTCTTTGATAGTATCCATATTACATCTTTATCACACTGAAATTGTGGAAATCTTTTTATTGGTTTTAGAAATAGGGTCCTTATTTTATGTAGTCATTTAGATACACCGAAAAATTTCCGTTACTTGACTGTGCTGTTTGCTTTTTACTGTGTTCTAGTGGTTTGGCAATAGATTAGAGGTTGGGTTTTCCACCATTTGGTACTAATTATCTAGGAACAATCTGATTTCCATTTATTGCATTCACATGGCAGTCTTGCCTGTATTTATATCAGAAAAAAGGGTTTATTCTGCCCTCCTAGCCTCATGAATGCCTCAAGAAGATCATTCCATTATAAGATGTGGGTATAACAAGTTAAATCAAATTGTTCCTCTTGAATCTTGTGTCTGGATGCTTACACTTTACTTTTTTGGCTATAGAACTATTAACCAAATCAGACAGTTGCCAAGAAGTGCATGAATAAAATTGTAGTCCTAAGAAATTCTGGACTTTATTGCTGAGTAAAATAAATGTCTACCTTTCATTTAACCGATTGTTACTGGATAAAACCCTTCCTTTAAATTATCAACTGTGTGACCACTGATTAGACTTAATAGCACTATTATAACCTAAAATATGTATTTTATTGTGAGTAAAAAAACTTGCCTATTTATCTTTCCTAGTGTTTTCCAACTAACTATTGAAATCAGGATAGGCAAGAGCTGATTGTGAAAACTCTCAATTACACAACAAACCAAAAGTGAATTTTTAAACAAAGGCATAAATTTTATATATGATCATTGATTCAAGAATATTTACTGTCCACATACAATGATTACAACTTCATTTTATAATTGTGACTTGCACAAAAGATGATTCTAAAGAACTCTGTCTATAGGGGAGAAAAAAGCATCGCACTCCAGTTATAAACACGAATAATTCCACAAGTCATTTTATCTCTCCATATTTCAGTCTTTCTCTTTGGGATATGTAGTTAATTGGGGATATGTGGTTATTGTATCCATTTAACTAGCAAGATTTTTGTAAGCTCTACAGAGACACTGTAGATCTAGAAAAATGAAAAACTACATTCACTGCTAGACATTTTAATTCTAGAAGTTGTTACTTATTTAAATATGTATTGAAAATGTATCTTAACAGTGAACTTTAAAAATTGAATCAGCCTGACAATATAGAAAGATTTACAGTGACATTTTCCTGTGGAGAGAGTGCTAAAAGCCACCTCCCCTGCAACCCCCTCATCAGGACTTTTTCTTCAGGGCTTCTTCAGCAGAGATTTACCTCTGACCTTTTTTGTCCCATGTGCTTCCTGAGGGAAAAATGAAATATTGATGGACTGCACAAAATATCATTTTACAAATAAATTGTCATATGTCCATTTTATTTTTCCTCTGGGTCTTCTCAATATATTTCTCTGTTATTCTTTTATGGCTATTGCACAAAACGTTTGATCATGAGCTACATGTGCTTTAGAGATATGCACCTCTTTCTGGCAGAGTAGCAATAACTCATCTCCTTGTCTAAATATTTCTTCTATTACTATCAGCCCTGTCATAGTGCAGGATTCCAGACTATGATTGTTAATGCCAGTGGTGGCACTGTTAATACCACCCATTACCTTTTAAATGTAGTATTCATGATCCATGATCATTCAGTGACACCAGTGTCCAAGACCTCATGTGGTTAGCTAAGCAGATAATTCTTTTAATTATTCCATGCCAAAAAAAAAAAAAAAAGCAAATGTGTGCTACTTATATAGTAACGAAAACAAAATATCATGTATATCTTAAATCAATGTGCTGTGATCTGGGACTTTGTGTACCATTTTTATTTCTTTTGTTACCTGACACCAGAGAGCTTCAAGTAGAAAATGGTGAGATGAAATATTGGCACAAATGCTTTCAGTTTCCATCAGATAGGACAATTGAGAAATTAGATCAGTGATGAGACTGATTAAAGTGGTTTTGTAGAGTTCGATGTAAAAAAGCTCTTTTTCAAGGAGCTTAGTCAGAAGAGATGTGAAGACATTTTTGTTTGTCTTGTTTTATTTTTAACAATAAAGACTTGGCTATCTGTATATCCTGAGAAAGAGAGGGTGTTTATGAGAACAATATTACTACAAAGTAGGAGGAAAGAGCTCAGGGATAAATTCCTCTTGTAGTCATTGTAAACTATCTATAACCGATAAACACTATGTAAAATGTTAAAGAAAGGGAAATGATAGCAGTCTTAGTGTGTGACTGTCAGAGACTCTTTGTTCCCAATCATGGGGTATTGGGTAGCAGAACAGGCAGGGTCTCAAGGTGGGAGCGGTGTCGGCGAGCAGAGATTCCTAGAAAAGGGGGGAAAGGAGAAAAAGGGGAGCGGATGCAAGGAAGACATGGGAATTGGAGTTGGGTGCAAGTCTTCCAGTTCTGCTCTTAGCAGAAGTTTATTTTATACATTAGGAGCAAGCAGTGGGATGACATCAGCACATGAACTGGGTTGAGAGATTACAATCATCTTTTTTTCTAAGAGTAGTTTGGGGTCGTATTGTCCTTCAGCTGAGATTACAACATCCATTAAAGTTAGGATAGGTACATAAATTCATAAAATTTAAGGCTAACATTGTTACATTTACCACAGTGTTGATTGGCTAAAATAAAGGCCCTTTAAACCATAAGTGCTACTTAATGATCTTTATTTTTATTGAGACATTTTAGAGGGTAAAGTCAAGTCAAGGACTAGGTGGAGGAGTTTTCTGGTAGATAAATCACTAAGGGAGATAGTAAGATTCCTCATTTAAAGACTGAGCTATAAAAGCTTAAGAGAGTAGAGTGATAAGATTTGGGTTCTTGCCCAGGCAGTAAAAGAACTTTAATTATTTTTTAGCATGTTCTAGTACTGCCTTACAATAATGATTTTGTTGTAATTACTTTTATTAATCAGTCAGTTGTAATAATATTTTTTGCTTTCTAGAGGAATTTTCTGCCTTGGGCAGCACTTGCTCACCTGAGCCAGGTAGCACCTTAGGAGGCTAAGGCAATCCGGTTGCAAGCTGATGGTTGCTTAGAATATTTTGATATTCAGAAAAAGGAGGTCATAACATAAGTTAGCATGGAAATTCTGATTTTTCAGAGTACTTCCATCTCTATCTGGACTATGTCAGTCGATAGAGGTTGCATAGTTTGTGTCATGTGACAAAGTATATTAACAATTATGTTAACTAAGTAGCAAATATCTGTCGCTGTTTACATACAATCAGCAATTGTTTGTCATTGCTTACTTTATCTGTAAATAAATGCATTCTAAAAACTCTAGCTTTAATATAAACCATTCTGAACAATTTCTATTCATCTTCTTAAAAATGTTTTCTTTTATAAGATATAGAAATACATATTTGTTTCCTACTATGCATTTGGCATAACTGGTCGAAGCATATGAAATTGCCAATATTTCAGCAGATAGTTTGATCTTCAAAATGGCAAGATCATTTGATTCAGCTGAATCTTTTGTTTATAGAACCGTATGTAAATGAAGCTGCATATTTAGCACTCCAATGTGTTTGTAGGCAGTACCACTGTAATTCATATTATCCTCACTGCAGGCCGGCCATGTGACACCTAAGTCTCCTTCAACTGATATCTTTGATATGATTCCATTTTCTCCAATTTCACACCAGTCGTCAGCACCTACTCGCAATGGCACACAGCCACCTCCAGTACCTAGTAGATCTTCCGAGATTAGTAAGTCTCCTAAAATGAATATTCTTTGCTATATTTGTATATATTTTAAATGTTTAACACTTTCTAGGAAATTATGTATCTGGACGGTACAGTAAAAATTTTAATTACTAAAATATTATTTTTATGTGTTTGTCAAATTCTATTAAATATATTGTACTTTATAACTCAGAATAGTTCTAAAAACACCAATAATTATAATTGGAAACTGTTTTACCAATAATGATATTTTTGGGAACATGGTGGTTTATATCATAATTCAAATCACTATATTTTTGTTGTGGTTGGGTTATATTTTTAATGTTCTAATTTAATAATTAAAAAAAACTTTGGTGGTAATAATTTTGGCCATTTTTGACATGTTCAATAGAGCTCAGTTTCCTTTGAGTATATGGATATTTTTAGTGGGAGACCTATATCTCCACTAAATTCATGATTTGCTTATTAATCTTATATAAGTGTTCTTTGATATCTAAAATGCTACAAATTGATAGCTCTTTTGATTTGCTTCCTATATATAGGAGAAAACATAGAAGTCTCTTTTTGATGAGCAGAAAGCATCCAATGTGTGCTCATTTTCTTCACGGTGTCTTGATCTTTACTCCCATAGAAATGGAAAGAACAACTCCCCGTTATCCTACATTATTTCAAAATGAAAACTGAAGCATGTTACATATTTTTATTTTATTGTATCTTCTCTGGTTCACATTAAAATACTTTCAAAATAACTGAAGTTTACAAATATCTTTAATACTTTGAAATACCTATCTGAAGTACTAAATTTCTAATTTAATCCTTTATTAAATTTGAAATAGATATTCAAGTTCCTCTAAATGTGCTTTGTATAATATTTAAAATATTAAATATTTACTTAAATCTTTTTAAGAAAATACATCTCATAGTATTTATGAAGCTGTGTCCAGTGTCATAATATCAGAGCAGGGTATTTTTTGGTCCATATTTCTTTATTTATTACTGCTTTTTTACTTATTTTGAAATTCATCACTGGTTTACTCATTCATTGACTTAATCCATAGGCACTGTTTGACATATACAAGATTTTGAATTTAAAGTATAAATTGACAATATATGCACAGTGGAGGGTTTTAATCCAAGTCTTAACTTGGAAGAGTTAATAAATTCTAAGATTTAAACAGAATAACCAGGCTGTTGGTTAGAGGTCAAAGTCAATTATGATTCAAGATTTTAGACCAATAATTATTACAGGGAAAACTAGCTGTAGAGGGAGATTAAATAGTTTTATTTCGGACGCTGATGAATTTGAAATGACTTTGGAAAAATATATGCAGAGATGCTCAAGAGATGTTTTTAATAAGAAACTGAAGTAACACCATACTGATTATTTAAATATCTACCTGAGTGTCATGTCGATATCCTTTGCATTTTTTAATATCTGCTATCCTGAGTAACAAAGTTTAGTAAATATAGGGCTACAAATATTCATAGGTAGATGGATTCATAACATGGATAAATTAGGTAGGAAAGGTATAGGTTATCACTTTGCCATATTTCTATACCTCTTTCTTTTTTATCTGTACTAACAACTTAAAGACAAATTTTCACTGTAAGATCATCTAACATTTTGACCACAGGAATTTTCTTAAAGTGAAACCTGATAGGTATTTATTTATATTTCATATCTACTAAATGTATTCTCCAGGATGCATTTTTGATCCTTGAATATGTATCTGATTTTAATTAATGGACTCAGTCCTATATATTGCTTTATTATTATTTAACAAAGGCATTAATAAATGCTACAAGAAAGTCTCAGTCAGTAATGATTTTGGTAAATTTAAATTGCTTAAAGAAAATGTAGTTAATACCAAATATTTGATTTTGATATTAAGAAGTATTCATTAAAAGCATAGAAACTTTTGTGGATAATAATTGTTTGTAACCAGCCAATTTTATTGTCATAAGTTGAATCTATTTTTGTTAGTGGTTAATTGGTCTAAACTAAGGAAAGACTAGCATAAACTAAGTCACCCTTATAAGAGCTCATTTAGCTATTCCTTGATGTAGTCCTGTCTTTCAAATCTAGTTCACTTTTGGTCGTTACTAAAAATTATTTTCTTCCTTTTAGAAAGGGACCTGTTTGGAGCAGAACCTTTTGACCCATTTAACTGTGGAGCAGGGGATTTCCCTCCAGATATTCAATCAAAATTAGACGAGATGCAGGTGACTATGCTAACAGTCCCACTCATAAATGGCTTATTTGTTTTTAGTATGGAACAAAGAGAACATCATAAAACAAAACTACTGTGTCCTTGAAATATTTTTATTGTAAATTATAAACTTATTTAAAATTGTTAGTTTAAAAGAATTATAGATATTTCTTCTTAAAATACCCTATGGATGAGGTTTGGTTTTGGTTTGTTTTAATGGTGCACTTAGCAATGACTGTAGGGTTGGGTGTCCTTTTACAAAAGTACATGAGTTCTAATGGCTCATTCTTTTGAAATCCCAAAATTAAAAGGTCATTGTATTTGATTTATAAAATTTGATCCCAGCCTGAAAATTAATGAATTTTAAAATTGTGAATGGCTGATGAAGAAAATCTTTGTAAGAGTAAAATCAGTCACTTAAAGGAAGCTTTGTAGTTGAAGCTCATAATTTCTGAGATCTTATTGAAGAAGCAGATATCCAAGTAACTACTTCTTTAGGAATGTAGTGCAGTGAGGTTTTTTCATTTCTTTCTGTCCCTTGTATTTCTCAATTCTGAATTGTTCTAGAAGTACTCAGATATTGATTTTACAAGTTTTATACAATGGTTCATGATTACTAAGTAGTCTTATAAACACTAGAATAGTGTTTTTATTTGTCCTTTCCATTTTGGTAAGCTCATTTATCCTATTTCTCATCAAAAAGACTAATGTAGAGTGTAAGCAGAAACCAATTATATAAAACTGGCAAAAAAGAGGAAATGAAGAGGTATTTCTGTTTTTAAGCCTGCATTATTACATTCACTTTTCTAGAAAAGGTAAAATAATTAATGGATTCTAATCTTCTAACACTGGTTTATAAACATTCCTTCCTAGAAAGATAACATAAATTCTCTTCTGCTCACTGCAGCTATGAAGCAGTTTTATTTTCTTGGTATTGTATTAAATTCCTTATTGTTTTAGAAATAATAATGTCTGCATTTAAAAGTTGGATTTTTTTTAAATGTGCCTCCAGCTTTTCAAAGAATATGTTAAACATGCATCAAGATGTATGATTCATAATACTTTTCCCATAGAAAATTATTTTAAATACTTAATCTAACTTAAGTTACTATAGCCTTTCTTAAATATTTACAAAAAAAAAAACTTAACAATTTATCCTCAAATCTCTTATACACTATTTAAATTATTAAAAATATAAGTAACAAAAGCGAAATTACAAAAACCAACAAAAGTCAGTTTAAGAACTTTACTATAATCACCAGTATCAAACTTATGTTGATTTCAGTGTGTTTCCTATTTGATGGTATAATTTCCCATCTTTCTGTGGTACAGATGCTAAAAATACTTCACACAAGTAGTGGGTAATTAATCAATGAAAATACTTCATATGAAATCAGTTCTTTTACTTTTATACAAATTTACCAGTTAAGCATATACTGCTGTGAGCTAATTCTTTCCCAGGCAAAACATATACATGTACACTAATGTGTATTTGTTCTCCAACATTATGCAAACCATAGAGTATTTTCATATGAATATCTTTAGGTAGTCACAAAAAAAATCTGTATTTTGAAAATAATCCTACATCTCTAGATTTTTATAGGAACCTAGTTTGAAAAATACTATATTGGAATGATTTAGTGCTGTATTAGTCAAATAATGTTAAGTCTATGGTATTTTTGTGTTTATTTGTTTTGCCATTTCTAATATTTTCTTAATGTCTTTCTTATTCTTTTCTGCTTACATGGTGGGTAGCGCCAGAGATGGTTGGTATATTATTTTTATGATAATTTTAAAGAATTTACAAATTCTTAAAAAGAAAACCTTAATATTTGCATGACTCAGTTAATAAATATTCAGGTTTTATTGTATATCTCTAAATGTAAGTTTTATTTAAAGAGGTTTTATAACCTATTTTTTAAGTTATTCTTTTAATGACTTAGTCATTAGTGTATTATCCACCTAATTGCTTGTCTGTTTCTCTTAGTGCAGGATTACTTGCAAGGTCACTTTAAATAAAGAGAAATAGCATTTTCTTCAATTCAGTCCATGACAACTAATCTAATACACTCTATTAAATACTAATTTTACCTGCATATAATGTAAAAACTTAATGTAGCTTAGTGGGTTGTATAAGACATATTGAATTAATATACCTAGTGAAATATTTGGTTTTTCTCTTTTGTTTACAGATAAAATCAAAGAAATATCTCATTAATGTAAGAATTAAGTATAAATATTAAGCCATGTTTCAATATAAATTGTTTAAAAATAAGATATTTATTTGATATATCTTAGCTATTTCATGAAATAGTTATTTCATAACTGACAGCACCTAAACTTTCTGGTACATGTTACCACCAGACAAATCAATTTAATATTGGTGACCGTCCAGAGTGTAGCTTATAACTTACAGTAATTTCACACACTAAAAAAGAAGCAAGGGAAGTCAATGAAAGATGAAAGAATTGTGTTAAGTGTTGTCAAGTCAACTTATAATAGCTTGGAAGAAAGTTTTCAGTAATGTCCATATAAATTTCAGAAGCATTAGGCAGTTTAAAAATATTTGAAATACAGTTGAATAGTTATCAGACTTTTGAATTGGAGAGTTTATGAGGGAAAGAAAAAATATACACACAGTTTTGTTTTGTTTTTCGTATTGAAGTGACACTGATTTGCAGTATAGTATAGATTTCAAGTTATCCATACCCTCACATGTATGTTAGCACACCATACCCACCACCACCACACACCCACCATCACCACACACCCACCGTCACCACAACCACCGAGACACGGCAAGTACTCCGCCATGGTGCGTTGTATGCCCTCTACTCTCTCCTCTTTCCCTCTCCCTCTTCTGTACTCTCAGACTTCTAGGATTTACCATTGACTTAGTTTCATCTGAGCCTTTGTTTTGTTTTTCTAATTCCACATAAATGTCTTTCATCTTCTGACTTGCTTGGTTTAGCATAATGACCTCCAGTTCTACCATGTTGTAATAAAAGTTTATCTTTTATTATAACTGAGTAGTACTCCATTGTGTGTGTATACCACAGCTTCCTAATCTACTCATCTATCTTTGGACAGTGAGGTTATTTCCATAGATTGACTGTAATAAAAATAATGCTGCAATAAGTATAGAAGTATTTCTGTGGTCCTTTAAAAAATTTTTCTCTTTAAAATTATATTATATATATAAATTATATTAAAGTAAATAGATAAATAATTAGGAAACTAAAGACGAGATAAATAAAAAGGCAGCAATTCACAAAAGTAGACCACAGGTGGCTAATATACATCTAGATATATTCAGTGTAATTGAAGAAAATAGAAACTAAATGAAACATTACATGTTATTTTAATTTTGCAAATTGGGTATTTTATTTTCTCACCACTAATCAGTATAAATGAAAGCATGATAAAACAAGCTCTCTCGGTCATTGCTAGCTAATCTCAGTTTATAACATGCCTTTGGGAGTAACTTATTATTAATACTTATTCCTGTTTAATATCAAAACTTTAATATAATCTGTTTCAATGAGAAATAACTGTAAATATGTAAAAATCTCTGCACAAAAATATCTAGTCATCCTCACTAAATGTAAATATTGGAATAATTAATAGATTATTATAGAATATTATAAAGTCATGCTAGTTTTATAGGACTCAAGAAAACACAGGTCATTTGTGCTGTTAAGATTAAGAATATAGAAAATTGTATCTAATATATATTAAACATATAAGAATTATATATAGTACAAATATAGTATTATCAAAGTTGATATAAAAATCTGCAGATAGAAAGGAGAATAAAAGACATTCTTCAATATGTTGACACTTGTTACATGAGTGGGCTTTTCTTCCATCATATACTTTACTCCCTATTTTAGAAAAGAAGTGCAATAGAATAAAATATTTCATACAAAGAAATTATTAATAGAATAAAATTAGTCTTTCATATGATATTAGTTTATAAGAATATCTATTCTACATAAGTAAAGTCTGATCTTACATAGAGATTTCAGATTCAGAGGCTGTGGAAACTTCAGAGTGATTCAGTGACTATAAAATCATTTACAATGATTTACAATGAGACTGAGTGGGGAAAGTTGGAAAATGTGTAGAAAACTATATCTTAGGAAGAAAACCAAGGAGCCATATAATAATGTATCTGTTAATTGAGATGATCACAGAAAGTTAAGGGGGCTCCAAAATAACCCTTATAAAATGATAATAAAAACTTGCAAGAGACACAAAAACTTTATTATTAAAATGGTAGCTCATCCTTATTTTACTTTGATTGCTATTCTGAGTATCAAATACTGATAACAGATCAATAAATGTTATTTTCAGGGTAACTGAAATGATTGTTTAATTTCAGAATTAACTGATAAAAATTTGAAAATACTTTGGTATCAAATCTTTCCAGAGTCAATAAAGCCATATTATCCTCCCTTTCCGCCACTCTCCCTCTCTGCCTCTTCTCTGTCAGAGGATGATATAATTGAGTTCTTCATATATCCAAATAATGTATTTCTTAAACTGTTCATGTATAATATTTTCAGGTTAAGGTATTGACTTTTCTAAGCATTGACAGCTCTTTAAAAGTATACAACAGGAAAAATATTTCTTTTGTGATCAAAACAGTCTTTTTTAAAATAATGGTAAGTATACTGACTTTCACTTAACTAATATAACTTGGTACTACAAGTACCAAGAAAAATGTCTTGGAAATGTCTATAGCAATGTTGTTGCTGTGGTCTTTGTCCTGTAGACATAATGAAAATCATTCTCTGATCATGTTGCATAAAGAGGTGGCTTAAAGTAATAGTTCCCCCCACCATATGATAATGTTTACATTGGACTTGTAATATGATAAGTATCTTAGACAGCTGTTCACTATGAAAGTAATTTTGTGAACTCCAGACAAATACACAAATGGTAGCACACAAGTAGATACATTCTAATTAAATAGAACATACACAGCAGAACAGAAAACAAAAGCTTTTACTTTGTCATGTTCTTTATATTGAAATTAAAAAAATATTTTAATTGATAAAATAAATTAAAAATTAAAAATATTTTAATTTCAATTCTTTATATCAGGAATGTAGTTTCACATCTCAGCCTCTGGAGACTTGGTACTTTTTAGACTGCTACCTATATTTCATTTGCCAATAATGTGGCATGTGGTTTGCCCAAAGTACAGATTACCTCCCTACACAAAATTTTAGTTCTGTTAGTAAGAAAGAAAGGGAAACTGGGAAAAGGGAGGGGAAGAGAGAGAGAGGGAGAGAGAGAAAAGAGAGACACCTCTGGTTTGATTATCTCATGAAAAAGTAAGAGTAGAGAGGAACAGATTTCTTTGACACTAATTCTTATCTGATAATCTTAGAAAAAAGAAACCTTTTCAGGCAATTGTGTACTTTCAGGAGATCAATCAAAGGCAGTTTAATTTCCAGTAATATTTAAAACATGGGGAGTGGGGTTCAAAGAAAATTTTCAACTCTAAGCAGTAGCAGGACTAGTAGAGGGAGCTTTCTCCATGACAACGTGATCTGCTCTCCTACAGTCCACAGGTTATGATTTTGCATTTGTAGAAGAGTTTTACCCAGATTCTGGAGATAATTTATAAGAAGAAAAGGTGAATTCTTTCAAATTCTTTCAGGATACCTTGAACCTGTTGTCAATTTGAGGTCTAGTTATCTTACTCAGATTTAAATGCAATAGAGAAGTTAAGCCACAGTAAGTTGCCTAATAAATAGGCTTTACTGGAAAAGAACATTTAAGTCTGGAAAATATGTAATTTCATGTCTCTTTCTCTACTTTCCCATAAATGCTAACCTCACATTTATTTAAAAGACTTAAAACTCTAAAGGAAGTAAAAGAATTGCCAGGAATATATGCTTATGAAATATTTGATAAGCCAACATTTGACATGTAATTATTTCTTTGTTGACAAAGACATGAAGAGTCCAACTTTATTTAGTCTCATTTATTTATGTTATATAGATTTACCATGAGAATTTTCTATTATAATGTTCTTATTCTGTTTTATAGGAGGGGTTCAAAATGGGACTAACTCTTGAAGGCACAGTATTTTGTCTCGATCCATTAGACAGCAGGTGCTGATATCAAGAACAAGCGATCCTGATTTATGTTAAATTTGTTTTGTATACATATATTTCATTCATTATTATTGTATGACAGGTATTGTACATGTGCCAATATATTTTTTGAATATCTAACTTTTGAAGATTATTTTACTAAAATTTTCACATACATTCACTGTAACATTTTATTTTAAAGACAACCCACTGTAAAGTAAATCTTGCTTTTACATTCCTCTCTGTTTGTATCGTAGGTTAAATTTATAAATGAAAGACAAATTATCTAAACACTTTTCTTGTACCTGAGTTCCAAATAATATGCATCTTGAAATTTGTGCTCATTTTCCATGCTGCTAGTTTATTCTTGATTTCCCAAAAAGCCATACCTGATACCTTTATAGTCCTGTTGAAATGTATTGATGCCAAACTAAATGTTCTATATTCAATCCATTAAATATGTCACCATTTCATTAGATAGATGTCATTTTATGTATTAAATATTGTTTATATCACTGGAAGATATAAGCTTTGAATGAAATGCTACCAGGTCACTTTTAGCAGGCAAATAACAAAAATATAAACACCAATATTAATTAAATCAAATATATTTAGAGTATTTATTATAACTGCAAGGTAATAATGTTAGTAATTACTACTAGCTATACTCTAAATATTTATTTCATAAATAATTAGTGTGAAGAAAAAATTTGCTCTTAACAAAACATTTAATATTCAATTTTTGATAACATTAGTTACATTGCTATCTAAACATCATCTGATTTGAGGTTTCTTTTTAAAAACTGGAATATATGCTGTGTATAGTTGCAATGTCTATTACTCATATTTACTTTGCCAAATATATATACACAGATATATATTTTCTCACTGAATTAGAATTTTCTTCTCATATATTCTTTGATAAAGATAAATTTCCTCACCAAAGTTTGTTGTATGATGCTCCATTAGTTTTAATATTTTAAAATCAGTGGCAATCTTCCTTATAAATCATTGATGCTATTTAGTAAATTTAATTTGTATTTGGTTTACTGAGGTGAGATTCTCATTTCCACAGGTTTCTGTTCAGTTTAAAGTCTTTAACATGAATAATAAAATGATTTGCACCTCATTCTCAACTTGCTGAGCTCTGAATTTAAACATGTTTTTTTCTGATAGTTTTGGCCCTTATGTTACAGACCTGCATATGTAGTTAGTGCAATAGTAATTCATGATCAAAATTTATAATTTAGTTCATATTATATGAAAAATAAATTAAAAAAAAACTTGAGCCTAGATTGAAGGTAGATTTCAAAAATAAATCCTTTTACACATAGGAATTTTCTTCATATGTTAAAGGTACATTTTCACTAGGAAAAGAAGTCAAATATGCTTATGCAATATTATATTTGTTTGTATCTCCATAATGTTTTAGAACATATAAGCCTTCTTGTTTATTATCCGTTATCTGCTAAGTTGAACCTTAATTAGAGAATAGAGTATGTTTCATAAAGAGTCTTTATAATTTTATTTGTCATATAGTATTTTGGAATTTGTATAATGAGGATGTTTAGAAGCCTTATCTATGGCTTTTTTTAACAGATAGAATTTGTATTTTTATTGTACTTTAAAAAGCTTTATGTAATAGGTATATATTTAGTGGCATTTACTACCAGTGGTAATGCAATAGAGTACTAAGACGGCACTTGGAACATTAAAGATATGTCACTCTACCAATTTTTAATGGTGAGCAGTTCTGCTACTGGCATGATTAAATAGTGCATAATTGGTTATTAATTATGAACATTGATTTCACTAGTGCATTTTTATGAAGATCCAGTTGAAAATTGTATTTCTATGTAAGCTCAATGATATATTTGATTTTGCTGATAATAAATGGTTTTAAATAAATTAATTGTATAATTTACTCATTAAATAATTATTAGACACATCCTGAACTTAATTACGGAAAATTATCCTGATCTTAAAGTGGATCCTAAAGAAGAAGGTATGGTGTTGGGGAGGTGGGGCAAGGGAGGGAGGAGGAAAGGGTTAAAAATAATACACAACCCGTTCCAATGCATGAAGTAAGGGCTTTAACTTTATCTCTATAGTCCGCATATAGCTATATGCAAATATTTCATTGAGTATTGAAAAGAGCTAACTTGATGTTGAGACAGGTCATAATTTCTTTTCTATTTGTACATACAGATTAGGCTATAGGCCAGAGGTTATAGAGGCAGTGAGGGGATTCACCAGAGACAGAGTGGGGAGCAGAGCAGGCAGATAGATGAAGTACACTGCTGAGTTGAGCAGCAGGTGAGACAGAAGAGGTCTGCCATGTGGGTCAGCTCTGGGGCCAGGGATAAAACCTGCACTGAAGCAGCTGCAGCTGGCTAGCAGTGCTGTGTCCTAGGCCATGTGCCACCATGAGGGCCATAATTTCTTTTCTTTCACAAAAAGCATCTATCGCTTTGAATGCACTATTATGTACAGTCCCGTTAGCCTAGTGATACTTGGTAAAAAGTTCCATTGGCTGATCGTATTAAAAAGATAGATATTTTATAGATAAATAACAGGATTTGAGTTGTGGCCAAGTGGACAATCATGAACAAGTTTTTCATTTATTCAAAATGAAATATTAACTATTTTACCATATTTTGTTGTTGTTGAGGCAACATTAATTTAGAACACTGAATGTGATTTAGAGATATAAGATCATACTCTTCGTTTGTATGTTGCCAAGCACCTCAACCCCCAACAGATGTATTTGCAAAGAATGAATTTTGGGGTGTACAGTTCTCTATAAATGTCTATTAAGCCCATATAGTCTAATTCTTTGTTCAAGGTTATTATTTGCTTATTGATTTTCTGTCTGATCTATTCACTGATAAAAATGGTGTGTTGGCATCTCCAACAACTATTTTGTGGCTACCAATGTTTGTTTTAAATTTGAATGTATTTTGACGCTTCTTCATTTGATCAGTATATATTGATGAGTGTTTGTTATGTCTTCCTTACATATTGTCCCCCTTAGTCATTAGTCACTGTTCATCCCCATATCTTGTTTGCTTTCTTAGCTGGAAATCTGTTTTACCAGCTAAGTAGGTCTGTGCCTGTCTTCCTTTGAATCCCATTTCCTTGTAGGATTGTTTTCCATCCCTTTACTGTGAGCCTTTGTTTGTCTTTGGACCTCAAGTATGTTCCCTCGAGACAGCAAAGAGACGAGTTTTGTTTCCTAATCCAGCCATCCACTCATGGCCTTTTGATTACTTCTGCTTCCTTGTTTTCCCTTGTTCATTTTTTTTTTTTTTGTTTTTCCTGGAAGTTCTATTCTTTGACATACATATGAGAACTGCTTTCAACATTTACTGTAAGGGAATCTTGGGAAATAACTTCAGTTTCTGAGAAGACCTTTATTTCTCCCTCATATCTGACAGAGAATCTTGCAGGATGGTTAGTATTCTTGACTGGTATTTTAAGCTTCTGACTACATCATTCCGTTCTCTCCTTACCTGTGCATTTCCGCAGAGAAGTCTGACATAAATCTGATGAAATACTTTTATAAGTTATGTTTCTTTCCCCTAGTCAACTTCAGTATTCACTCTTTGTCTTGATCTCTTGGAATTTTCAAAGCTTTGTTTGGTAAAGGGCTCATTAAACCTAGGTGATAAGATATATTTGTAGTTTCGTGGACATCTTTTTTTTTTTTTTTTAAGATTTATTTATTCGTACAGAACTGGGGTACAGGTCAGAGATGTGGAGGGTGAGAGGATTCACCAGAGACAGAGTGGGGAGCAGAACAGGCAGATCAACAAAGTACACTGCTGAGGGGAGCAGTGGGCGGGTCAGGAGAGGTCTGCCTCACCATGTGGATCACCTCTGGGGCAGGTGGGAATTGAACTCATGCGCAAGTGGTTTAAGCTGCTTTGTGCTGTGCTTTAACCCGCTGCACCACCAGGGAGGGCCCATGGACATCTATTTTTAATTTCTTTTCTCTATGAGACATTTTCCTCTGTTATTTCTTTGAGTAAGTTTTGTTACCTCCATTTTCTCTTATCCTCTGAAATACAATTATTCCACATCACATGCAGTTTGGATTATTCTTAAAGTGTTTATTCTTCTGTGCCCCCTGTGTACATCTTATTTCCTCCACCTGGATTCTTTGTGCATTGCCATCTTTGAAGTGATGTCACTGATTCAGCCTTCCATTTGGACTATACCTATAGCATTCTACCTGTAGCTCCACTATTATTTTGTAAAACTTAGCTTTCTATCTATTTTATTTTTAAGACCATTTTTCCTGTGTTTTCTTGCATACCTTTGATCAGCTTCTTTGTGTTTTCTCCTTCTTTGAATGGTTTGACCATGACAAGTTTGAACACTATGTGTAGGAACAGATTTTTCATGCTTTTGTGGTTAGGTTTTAGATATTTGTTCTTTGTGTGTGGTAAAATATTCTTTTGAGGACTCAAGGTACCTATTGTGCATTGTATTTTTCCTTTTCCCAATTTGTAGCTTTCTAGGTTGCTGTTTTCCAAGTGTTCTCAGAATGAACTCCCATTTTTCCAGCAGATGGCACTGTATATCAGGGAGAACGATTTGCAGCTGCTGAGTCAGTAGGTAAGAGAGGGGCCAAGACTTGTGAATGTAGTGTGCAGGAGTGGCTTGTGTTGGTGGTACTGCAAAAAGCCCTCCTCTTTGGTTCTAGACTCATTTCTGGAGGGTCACAATAGGGTCTTGCTGTCACATTTCACAAGTCCCACAGTGGTAGCACAAAGTAGCACTGTTCTAAGCCCTTTTCACTGTGGGACAGCTGGCTCATCTACATGTATATACTTTTAGTTAAGCATACAGCTCTACACTAATCAATTCTTCCCTCTCCAGGAATACCAGACAAACTTGGGGCCATATCTCTGAGATTTTTCTCCCACTGCAGACATGCACAATGGTCAAAGTCTCAGGTGCATTTCTCCAAACATCTTTTGTGCATGGAGATGATTTTCTTCCGTGTCCCTTCTGGCATGGTCAGTGATGGTCTCTAATGTCCAAGAGGTGCTCTAGTGTTGTTCCAAGTTGGGATACTCTGGATCAAATGCCTGTCTGGGTCATTTTAAGATTGTACCCCTGGCAGTGAAGCAGAGGAACTCCTTGGTAGGCATCTTCTTAATTTACAGGACTTGGGACTCCTATGCACAGCTTTTGCACAAAAATGAACATTCACCAAACCATTCAGTATAATATATCTATTACTTATTTTACATGAGTAGCATGTATGTATATTATGTGGTTAAGAAAACATATAGTAAGTTGCAGATTGTATTAAATTGAAGATGACCTAAATGCCTGCTTTCAATTTAGTTTACTGTCACAAGGGAAAGATAAAAATAAGGTAAATAAATGAATTAAATTAAAAAGCATATATATATATATATATGTTTTAATATATATATATATTAATGTATATATGCTTTGTGTGTGTGTGTGTGTATAAGTACTGTGTGAACCAAAAACTTCCCCAAGAACATTTATACTTACATTTAAATTTGGGTGCCTACCATTGATATGTTTTTAGTATTAGATATCCAGGGTGAAATGTATCCCGTCAGGCCAGTGGCAATAATTTTCTCCATCTCTTCTTGTTTCTTCTATTTTGGATTTGATTTTTTTTTCCAAAAAATTTTGGTCACATTATGGGAATTCATTTCCAGCTAGGATTTCAGATAGATTTTGAGTTGTTGCATTTCTAAATACTGACATTTAAACATTCTTTTTGATGTTACTTTAGTTTACATGAAAAGAAAACTGGCTGTTAATATGTTTCTGCTCTAGTGTTTCCTTATATACTTCCAAATTCAATATTTCCTCATGATTTTGAGTTTCAGACTCCGTTAAATCACTTGGACAATCTTGGACTCAATTTTGACAACTAATTCTCAGACTTCACCTAAGCTACCTGTGTTAAAGCAGGCAACACACTGTTGAGCTGGATATAAGTAGTATTGCTCTATCGTCTGCACTTTGTACTCCCTAGTCTTATACAGGAAGTGCTGATCTTAAGTGCTCTTCTCTTCCTAGGTGAACTCAGACAAATTTCTCACCAATACCCATCTCATAAATTTGTCCCAAGCCTTAATTTTTCTATGCTCATTTTATGACCTCCTCTTATATTGTAAAAGTTCAAAAAGTTCAAATGTAGGCCATTCTATGGATCCCTCTTATTTTCAACATTTTCTCTGGAATTCATCCAAAGTGAGACCTCTTTATTCTAGTGAAGAGATCACGGCCTAAAATAAATTATGGTTTTCTGTTCTCTTGTATTTATGAAATATGGGTAATATTGAAATAGCAGAAGATATTACTTTTCTTTGGATTCATTCCTTTTACCAGGATTCCAAAACACCCTCATTCCAAAGTCATAGTGAAATGACCTAGAAAAGGTGGCGTTGTCAAGGAGTCTAGTTTGAAGTCAATTTCAAATTTCTGACACTGAAAAGTTGAAATAGCTGAGTATCTTATTTCTATGTCACTAGCATTGGGTTTTGTGTCAGTTAATAGTATTATCAAAGGAGTATAATAAAATACTGCAAACACTTAATCATTTTTGGCATTCATTCAGATGCACACTCAAAATTCATTAACTCAAAGTTTACAGACAACTCTGTAGGCACTTTGGAAAAGGCATTAAGGCTTTTAAATGTAAGGTTTAGCTTCTTAAAAGTAATTCTCAATCTACACCAGACCTAACTAATTCTACTAATGGATATTATAAAACCCCATACCATTTTCCCAATTAATTATATTTTACCAGCTTATCATTATTATTTTGTAAAAACATTAAAATAATGCCTTAGATCATCATTTGTATACTTGATAGTATTTTTAATTTTTACACTCCAATAATC